ATTAACTCCCAGTTCAAGAGAACTAAAAAAATGGTGACCCTATTTTTTTTAACCCTGTAAAGCCCAAAAATAGAAAAACATTATAATTCATTTTTTTGACCTTTCAGATGTTGTTGTAGGGAGCCTATGGAGCAGAAAGGAAAGATGTTTTCACATTTTTTACGTTTTGGTAAGTTTCTAGCGAAATGTTGTAATATTGCAATGTTGGGCTTAGGTGGGAGCAGAATTCCTGTATTTCTACTCACATTGTCTGAATAAATATATTGAACAACTAAGGGTTGATTTGCAGGATTGATTGCTTACTTAGCCCATATCAGTATATAGCATGAATAATAATCACACATCAGTCATATTTTTTATGAATAGTCATTTATTAAATATGAATATGGTAGTCCAAAAAACAGTTCCTGTCGTCAGAAAAGCACAGACAGATGTCACACTTGGTGCATTGGGTGTTTATGTACCCTTTACTGCAGTGTCTGCAGCGTCCTCTCTTTGTCTTCACTGGAAAATGTAACACTAGGTCCTTCCGTACATCCAGGGGAGGTTGTGATCTCTTGTATGGACTCCCATCACCTGAGGATGGTCTCTTCTGAGCAATCAACGGGCTCCTTGATGTCACCGTCGCTGCTGGGCTCCCGTTGCCTGAAGATGGTCGTCCTCTCTTTGGTGTTTTCAGAGGAGTTGTGTTCATCTGATTAGAACATAATCAAGATACATGTCAAAAAAACATTAGGATACAAGTCAAAAATATTACAGTGAAATATAAAAAAATATTACAAACGCCAAATAGCAGAAATGCATTCTTACCAGGATGAGAGAGGATGCTAGATCTGCCTGAAACTGTCTCCTGTTCAGGATCTCCTGCTTTGGCATCTTTAGAGCTCTGCAGTCCCGCTTGTAGAGGAGCCAGGCGTTGATCACAGCAAGGATGATGGTGTGCCAGAAGATCTACACGTACCAGCGTCGGGACTTCATGGGGAACTTATATTTGGCCATAAACGAGTCCAACAAATCCACACCTCCCATGTACTTGTTGTACGTAGCCACAATGGAAGGCCTCTCAACTTCTACGTAGGTTTTGTTGGCTTTGTCCCAGCGTTGAATGTTCTGCACAGGGTGTGGTCCAGCAAAGGATGAGACAAGTGTGACCGCTCTGCTGTCATACCATTTGACAGCACAGATGGTTGGTCTCCACTCGGATGTCAAAGCTTCCTCTCCCTTTTTTCTTCAAGCTCTTCTCCTCTTCAAGGCTACAGTTGGGTAAGCGCACCTGCCTGGCTGTTCCCACATAATGAATCCCGTGATCAAGGAGCTTCACTACCAATGGGACACAGGTGAAGTGAAGTAGTTGTCTGCGTAGATCTTGTAGTTCTGACCTTCTGGAAGCGTGGAGGAAAGCTTAATCACAACATCACCTGACAATCCAAGTTCAGACTTGACTCGTATCCCATTGACACTGCCTTGGTACACATCAAAGTCACAGATCATTCCAGAGATTCCGGTTCTCACCCACTTTCTCCGTTTTGGATGGCATCACATCCTGCACACTGAATTGAGGACCTCTCTTTGCTGGTGGCATTCTGAAATGAAAAAAGTAATTAATAAATATGTGTCAATAATACATATGCTTATTATATTGTAATAGATTACCTGAAGGAATAGATAGGGTGGTGGGACAAGTGTTCATTTTGTCTGGCTTAGCCTATTGTCATACTAAAAGGAATGCATGCACCACCCCCTTCCAGGTGTCCCGATGCAACAAGTATCTGAACCCTATTTACATTGTACACTTGAGTCACACAATACTACCTGGCTTAGCCTATTATCATAATAAAAGCAATACCTACACCCACACATGCAGGTAAACCAGTTCAACAAGTCACACAATGCTGTCTGGCTCATGATAATAGGCTAATTATCATACTAAAAGGGATACATCCAAGTGTCCCAAAACATTTCAGAAAGAACTGTTTCTGCCAGAACCAGAGAATAATTAAATGTATTTTTGTAATTAATTAACTGATAAGATACAAGTAGAGTTTACAATATTACTACAGATATAATTTCACATACTTTTATCAGAAATAATGTATTCATTTATTCAATTCTGATCTTAATTCAAAATCTTAACAGAGGACACATTTAGAACTTAGTTATAGTGAATTATCAAAGACATTATATTTCTATTCGTGTTTTATTTCCACATTTGAACATATAAGAAGGGCGGGGTCCATGACAGGTGCTCATGCTATTTTGACTACCACACTGGCCCAGTGTTGTACTATTACAACATAGACATAAGCTGCTCAAAATCAAACTTGATGAATGTATTCCACAAAAACTAAATATGTACATGTTCTAGACATTGTAATAATGACAACAACATTTTTTTGAGGCATTTTACTTACTTGAATCTGACAATTCCAGTCCAATAAAACAAAGAGATGTTGCTTGTTTGAAGATTCGGAGCCTGGTGTAGTGGACTAGTGCGTTGGTGTTCAGATCAGGGGAGCACAGATTCAAACTCCACTGCAGTCAGCATGTCGTTGTGTCCCTGGGCAAGACACATCACCCCAAATTGTTCCTGTGGGGATTGTCCACAGTATTGAGTATGTAAGTCGCCTTGGATAAAAGCGTCTAACAAGTAACATGTAATGTAATAATGTAATGTATGGCCAGAGGGCAGGACCTATAAACACATGTACTACCCAATAGCATTGTGAGGCTGAACAAAAGGAGCTTTTAACTATGTAAATGTTTGTTTAAGAAAACAAAACATTTACTGACTTTTTTTAGGATAGCTTAAAGTAATGTTGTAAAATTACAACAGTGGGCCTTACAGGGTTAACCCCTATAAAAACATATTTTTAGGTTTAAAAAGGTGCCCACACTTAATAGATACATCTTATTTATGCACAAACGATTAAACAATCACACATAATGTGTAAAATTGTTCTACCCTCGTCATAAAATAAAGAAAGAAAGAATCAAAGAGAACATGAGAAAATCAACTATGATTGAATACCTGTAAAGGAAATTGAAATTATAAATATATTTATACATTATAAATGTCATATTCAGCCAGTTTTCTTGCCAAGTGCTCATAACACAAAACCACAAAAACGTGTCATGTCCTTCCAAAGCGAGCCATAACACTGTTACCTAAATTATTTATATCAGTATTTATTTGTTCACATCCTCTGTGAATTCACTGCAGTTATTAAATCCAACAGCAAACACCAGTCATGAAAAACTAAAAACACAAACTGTTAAAACCACTCCTGCAGTTGAACCATTTCTAACATAACGACTGACAGATAGTGGTTTTACAACCCAATAATGGGTCATTTTGACAAGCTGCATGATGAACAAAATACTGTCTGATACTTATTTAAAGCAGCCTCCATTGGACTTCTTTCTTTTCTGCCGTGACGTAGTGACATTACTTCATAACACTTGCACTTTTATTGGATAGCACTCCAACACATTGTTATATGCTAAGGGAAGGGACATCTCTTAGTGGTTGACCAATCAGGGATTTTAAAAATAGTTAGTCCAGAGGTCACAAAGTTTGACACATTTAAAGAAGAGAGCAGGATGTAAAATAGAGACACAATTAATAAATGTTTCCTGATTTTGTTTTTGCCTTTTATCTGTTACATCTATACGAATGTTGGTATTTATATACATCTTCTTGCTTGTTTTTATTTATTTATTTCTCCTTAATAACTGCCTTCAAATTTTATAATTGTATAATGTCTTATTTTTGCACTATGGCTTAATGCTTGTAATGTTCTTTGTGAAGCACTTTGAATTGCCTTGTTATTGAAATGTGCTGCCTTGCATCGCACCACTCTCACATTGTAAAGGTTTATTCCAACGTTGCAGAAAAACACAGGACATTCAGATGTATTTTAATGGGTGTGCTACAACACACAACATGTTCTTTTCCAATCTTAATAAATTGCAGGAGTGACAATGAGCATGCTGTGTCAGCTGTCAGCTCACACTTGTCCTGTGATTCACTCAGTGTTTCACATTGAACTCACAAGGTCAGACAGTAATTGACCTGCCAGGGATTCACTGCCTGTGATTTAGGAGAGTCACAATATGCAGCACATACAGAATTCCTGCCGGGATGCAGGGGAGAAGGTAAATAATGCTGCTGCTGTGTCCCTACATTATAAGAAACAGCAACAAAAAACATTTGAAGTGATAATTTGGTAAAGTAAGAACAAACTTTACTTAATTTCAGAAACAACACAAGCTAATTTAGAATTTTGTTTGCAATGTTGAACCCATATAAATATTTTTTCTGCAGCTTTTTAGCTCAAAGATTTATTTTAAATCAAAGAAAGCAAAGTGAATTTGAGGTGAAGCAATTGCAAAGCTGGTTAGCCCTGCTTAGATATTTGAAATGAGGAACAATTTCCTGCATTTCTAGGGGATTCAAAGCTGCTACATAAACATACATGGACAAAGGGGTCATACGTAAATAGCAGCATTTTCTGAGGACTATTGTAACTGGCTAACGTACAGATGCCATAATGCCTGTATCAGGAAATTGTATAAAAGCTCAAACTAAACAAATTAAAAAAATGACTATGTAAGCCCAAAATAACTCCTCAATTTCCAACACAAGAAGAAGATTTATGAATGTTTGTGGTTAATTTGTGGAGGATTTATTAACCATTGTCTGCGACAGATACTGCAGATATCATAACCTTCCATTCAAAACCCAAACTGGTTTCTACTGTAGCAGTGAATTAATATCAAAATCATAAAATCGCTTTAATTTATCTGCGTCCCAAATTTGGTGTTATTTCGGTGACATTACTTAGGGTTTGTACATCCTTTTTGTTTATGGATAATGAACCCTGCATGAGTTGTTTCCACAAATATGAGATTAAATGAATTTGAAATTGTATCAATCAATACATTTCTTTACTGGAATCAGTGTGTTTGAGTGTGAGACTTCAGACAGAGATTTCCTCCCAGTGGGACAGAGGAGCCTCCACTGTCATCTGATGCCAACCATGACAGATGTACACACACACACACACACACACACACACACACACACACACACACACACACACACACACACACCGTTCCAACCTTCTCCATCTGCTCTATCTTCGTGACTGGCCTATGAATGATACACATATGTGTGTATTTGTGTGGAAGTGTGTGTGTTGGCCCTCGACTGAAGGCCATGTGGGCCCCACGGGCGGTGGGACTGCAGCCCATCTACTCGCCTGTCTGGATGTCAGTAAGTGTTCATTTTTGGAAATGTTTTGCACAGACAACAATGAATGTCTACAGTATGTGTGTTCATGTTTCTGAGCTTGTTCAGATCACACGGAAAATCTGAAACTCAAGACTTGCTGGGATGTATATCATCTTTATACATCTTAGTAAATAGTCTCGTGAACAAATTCCATGAAAAAGGGACTATTAATAGTTTTAAACTTGTGATACACTGGAGCGTGCTTTACCAATTAGATAATGCTGTCTCAAAATCCCTTGCCTCAGCAACATGTAACGTGACATATGCCAATAACATTGGTCAGGTTACAATAGCAGGGTGTAAGGGCAGCAGGATTCTCTTCTTTTACACTTTATTTTCCTTTAAAAAGGAGGTTTAATCAAGGTCAAGAAAATATAATAGAAAATACATGGGACGTGATATTTTTTCACTTTTCCACTGCATCTTGAAACCTATGGAATAATACAAAAAAAATGCACATGGTGTAGTCCAAACGATAGCTGAGGATTCTGGGTAGTGCAGTGTCTTCTGCCATCCTTTACTCCGAAAAAATATTTGTTTCTCCGAATCGAAGGGGAAAAATACAAAAGCATTGCACAACATTTAAACCAATCAATGTTGTGTAATTAACAAGGATAATCTGGTGTTTTTTAGTCGATGAGTAGTGCAGATATCACTGTAAAATCAATCGACAGTAAGGGGAATACTTACTTCCGGGTGTACAATTCTCGGTTATCCAATGAGAATGGACGCTCACATTGCCTTTAAGGGCAGCCGACACAAACGAATGCCGTGCTTCCATGAGCGTCAAATCCCGCCGCAGATGGGAATATATTGCAATCAGTTGAAAGCTATTTGCGTCCCTTTATGAAGCTGAAGGAGCCTAGGACGTCACAACTGGACGCCACGGACACTGACCAAACGTCGCTCCTGGACGATTATGGAGTGAGAGTGTGTTGGTTGCATCACTACGGTCAACTCAGCTATCTCTCGCGTTCACTTGGTCAAATCAGCAGCTATTCATTTTTGAGTGTGCAATTAATAGCGCCTTTATGGTAATCGCTGTACAAGAGTAAAATAATGCATGTTTTTTTCTGCTTTATTTGCAATACAAGTCATTTGTACCATAAGTTCTTGATAAAACTGACAGTTTGACTCAGTCCTAGTTTGACTGCTACAATAAAATGAAGTTTTTACTGTGTACTTTTTGGGTAATACTCTCTCAAAGTCCCCTCCTGAGAACAAAATCATGCCACTTCTGCTATATTTGATGAGATCAAATTATTTTTAGCAATAAGTTCTTAATAAAATTGGTACTGTTGGACTCAGTACTTGTTAGACTACTACCCCAAATACAATGAAGTACTTTTACTTTGTACTTGTTGAGTACTCTGTCAAACTCCCTTCCCGAGTACAATAATGCATGTTTTTAGCTATCTTTGATGAGACAAAATTATATTTTGCTATAAGTTCTTAATACAATTGGCACTGTTGGACTCAGTACTACTTGGACTACTCCCACAAGTACAATCAAGTGTTTGAGTAATCCCCTGTCAAACTGGTCTCCTGAGTAGAATAATGCATGTTTTCCGCTATATTTAATAAGCGTTAAAAGCGTTCACAATACTGGGAGGCTGTGGCTCAGTGCTTAGTGTGCTGGACTTCGAATCATTACATTACATTACATTGCATTTAGCTGACGCTTTTATCCAAAGCGACTTACAATAAGTGCGTTCGACCAACAAAATACAACTTGAAAAAAACAGAATCATATAAGTACATCAGGTTTCATAGAGCAAAAACATTTCAAGTGCTACTCAACTGGCTTTAGATAAGCCAGTCCTTTATTAGTATAAAAGTGCTTCGTTAATAGTTCTATCGCTCGAAGTGGAGTCGAAAGAGATGAGTTTTCAGTTTGCGCCGGAAGATGTGCAAGCTATCTGCCGTCCTGATGTCAATGGGGAGCTCATTCCACCATCCTGGAGCCAGGACAGCAAACCCACGTGTTTTCGCCGATGGGAACTTGGGTCCCCCTCGCAGCGAGGGCGCAGCGAGTCGTTTGGCTGATGCAGAGCGTAGTGCAAGCACTGGGGTGTACGGTTTAACCATGTCCTGGATGTACGAAGGGCCAGATCCATTCGCAGCATGGTAAGCAAGTACCAGTGTCTTGAAGTGGATTCTAGCAGTTACCGGAAGCCAGTGAAGGGAGCGGAGGAGCGGAGTAGTGT